TCTTTTTTATCAACTTCTCATAAATGCTTGATACTGGAATTCGGAATTTTCAAGAAGGAAGATTTAACCTTTCTTATTGATAAAAATACTCATTTTCCCTCGATATCTACCATTTCAAAAAACGTTTTGCTTCAGCGTAATTCTTTCAATCAATTTTATTAAATTTCTTTTATAAAAATACAATTTTAAATTATTATTTTCAATAATTTATTTTACGTAAATTAGATTGAAATAATAATATTTAATATATAATTTTATTACGACAATTTTATTAAAGTAATAAATAATGCTAAACTATTGGAAGAAAGGAGTAGATTGGGTTAAGTATAATATTTTAAAACGTTCTTTTCATTATAATTAAATAAATTTTTTTGAAAAATTCTTCAAAAATCACTTGAAATTTATTTATATCTTCATCTTACATGCTTCTTACAGAATAGAATTATGGAACATTCAGAAGTGTGAACGTCATGATAACATACATTTTTCCAAGGTTAAATTCGAATAATTAGTTTCATACATATTAAATCCAGTTAAAGTATTGTATATTTTAGTAAATAAACCCTTAACCTTAGATACAAGTACCAGTAAAGGATAAAATTATATAGTTTCAACAATATTAGTATTGAAGGGTCGACTCGACTACTAATAGAAGAGGTTCGAATAATCTTTGGCACTGACATATTTATGTGAATAGAGGATTTAAGATACTTAAAATGCATTGTTCTCAACTGGGATATGTTATATATCTAACTTGATTTTATACTCAAGGCCCTCTTGACCTCTGATTAATATATTGGGGCAAGTTGCCTTTTGAGGCCCCTAGTTTATTAAAAACAGAATTTTCAAACTTTCTATTATGTTATTTTAAATAAAAAAAATCTGGCATAATAATGAAATTTTTTTCTTAATTCACAAAAATTTTAATTTGTAAAAAGTGCTTTTTGAAACTTGTAAATGTGAAACTAAAACAAAATGGCTCTGCTGATTCCCTTTAATAGGGCATGTTTATACTTATATCTATTTTAATATTATACTGAGTGGCCTAAAAGTCAGTTAACCGTGGTAAAACATGTAATCAATTAACTAAATTAGCTAAAAATACCATTAATTATATTTTAAATCATGTTTTGTACCAATTTTGTTAAAGAAACGTATTAAACACACGTACTAAACTTTATAGTTTAGTACGTGTGTTCTTAAGCTTGTTAGTAAATGCGATTCACAGTCACAAGTAATATACCTGGAACATACAAAATACGGTTAAATGACTTTTGGACCACCTGTATATATTTATCTATACTATACATCCATACAAAGTAGTTCGGAAGTAAGTTAACCATATTATATAACTTATTAGTTAAGTTTATCTATATTATACATCTGAATAATATGTCTCTGTTTATTCCAATTATCAAACATCTAAACTATCATTTTTATATCACAGAGGATAATTTAAAAAATAAAAAATAAATTTAAAAAAAAAGCACAAAAATTCATATTAAAATGAAACTGCATTTTTGATATAATTTTTTGCTGTCTTATTAATTTAAAATTGCAATTAAGCGACTTAAAAATATAAATTTTAAAGTATAAATAAATGTTAATGCTTAATAAACCTATTTATTTTATTATTTAGAAATTTTAAAGCCCACTTTATTGTATTTTATTAAGTTATTTACTGTATGTTAACGTAATTATCTATTCTTCCAGCTTGAATAAATCTTGACTAAATTGTTGATAATATTTAAAACGATATTTTAATATTTTAATTAATTAATTTAATATTACACAAAATTATTATTTTTGGAAACTAAAAACTAGAATAATCGATATTTCTTGTATTTATTGAACCTCCAACACATTTCTGAATATTATTCGAAGTTTTTGAGTAAAAAGAATAAGAAGAAGAAGAAGTGCAGCCTCCAGCTGTTATGAATAAAGAAGAGAACATTCCTAAACGGAGAGTAGAAATGNCTTATAAAATTAATAATAAGATTAGAATATTAATTTAATATTATTTATTAAAATATCTATTTAATTTAGATAAAGTCAATAAAAGTATATTAAAGCGCAAGAAAATGTCCTTAAACTTAAAAATTGAAATTATTTTTTAAAAACTATTAAGTTATTTTTAATATTGTTAAAATGAAATTTAAACTTTTTCATTACTTTTTTTTAATTTATAAATTATACTACAAAAACTTTTTAATTATCTTTAAGAAGAGGTTTAAAAAATAGTTTAAAGATCATTTCGCATTATAAATATATTTTAATGTGCGCATTATACACGGATACGGCGACATTTTGGCGATTTTAATTATTTTTAAAGGGAGTTTTTTAAAACAAATTTTTATAAAAAACAAAATAATGATGTCTATATTATCGATATATTATGTAATGACTTCGTTTTATCATAAAGGATAGCCGCGAAATGAGGAAATTATCTTCAATTAGATGTCTTAATGATCAATAATATACTCTTCTCCAAACAGTTCAATGTGTTTATTATGCAAACTATTCTTAACGGGTGGTCGTATTTCTTTATTTTTTGTATATTCATATCTGCTCGATATTGTTAAATGAATAATTATCACATAACTTTAGAACGTAGCCTATAAAAATGTATAACCTTTCTTATTCTCCTGATTGGTGTAACTAGAGATTTTTGTTGTACTCTACAACAGCTAAACTCTGTAAGAAGATTAGACAACAATTAGTAGATACATTAACCTTTATGGATAACACTGTTTGACATTCTAGATAGAAAGTAAAGAATGAACAAGACGTAAACAACATTACTTTACAAGATTTTTGATAATTATTTAGCTGTGATACCTTCTTAAAACTTCTAATGAATTTATATACAAATAATTATCCTTAAATTAACTTTAGTTTTTAAATAGTTTTGTTTACTTTCTGTTAATTTAATGAGGTTGTTTGCCTTATGCTTAATACTATAATAAGAAGCTTTCTAGTTTGATAAGTTAATGTTATATCTTATTAAGTATAGTTAAGCAAGGTCATATACTCATAAAAAGCACAGATACCGACGTATGAACTGGCTTATAAACATACAAAAAAGGCAACTGGCGTATAAACATGCATGTGAAAGATGTGTACTGTATAATGCATTTTGTTTTAGGGATTTTTGAGAGATTTTTTAAGCCAGTTTATAACTCAAATTGGCATAAAAATATAAGAAGTACAGAAACTTTGTCATATATAGAAGCAAAGAAGTATACTGGTGTGAAACTAGCATAAGCATACATAGCTATACATAGCTATAAACATACATATCACAGACAGGACATATAATATAAAGTTTTCTATTTAATAAATTAATGCTATACCTTGTTAAATATTGCTAAACAAAGTAAAATTAATTTTTGACAAGATTTTTAATTATGGATTTCTTTAGGACAACTCCCAGGACACACCCGTATAGTTTCATATCAGAATTATCTTGAAAGTTAGTTATACGATAACTATAAAAACAATTTTTCTTATATATAAAAAGAAGAAAAAAAAGTAAATTTATAAAAGTTTTATATAAGTTTATTACATTTATTATTTTTTTCCTATAAAAAACAAGAAATTTATACAAGAAAACTAAAAAAAATCGATATTAAATCCAATTTAGAGTTAAAATTGCAAAAGAAACTTTAAAATTATATAACAATATACTAATATGTTGCCAAGACTACATTTATTGAACGAAAATTTGTTAGGAAAAAAAAAACGAATTTTCTTTAAAAATTTGTTTAATTAAGTAAAATATAATTTTATTTTATACGAGTAAATTATAAAATATCCGAAAAATTATCAACATTTTAAATTGTCCGCTTTACACGTCAATATATGTATTTTATTTTATTCACTTCCGTTATTTAATCGCTGACATGCAAACATACAGACGTACTGATGTAAGTTCGGTTTTCTATTTAATTTAGGATAAAGTTTTTACGTGTGTAAGTATATAAAATTTCAGATATAAGTATTATCTTTTATATAAGGAATAAAAAGCATTGGTTTTTACATTAATGTTCAACGTTTTTAAAGTTTCAATATTTAAAACAACTAGTGTATTGATCATGTGAGTATAAAGTGTAAGGAAGAACATTAAGCACTAATTTTAATACAGTATTAGTAAGTTTATAAGTCAGTCTGCTTCATTAAAGAAAGAACATAGAATAAAGCACATGCATCTTTGTATAAATTAACATATAAACATACAAACGTACAAATCTTAAGCCCCAATTTTAATATTAGTGTTAAATTCTAGCCATAATCATCATACAAACATACAAATATTAACGTTTTTATGATTATTACGACTAGAATTTAACATTAATGTTAAAACTAGTGCTTAAGATTCGTACGTTTGTATGTTTATATGTCAGTAGTCAGTACGCGTAATTAAATAAAGGAAGCTCGCACTGACACACAGACACACTAAATATATCAATCAAGGTAGAGACTACGAATTACCTTTCCATATACCATTACAAAATGCGGAAAACTCATTAAAATTTCATAATTATACTCAAAACACTACCTTAAACCAGAAGTAATGTAATAATTATCGTGTCATAAATAATTAATAAATATACACCTAAACACACCGTTAATTATAATTAACTAAAGAAATGATTACCATTGCACTCCATTAGCAACATACCGCATTAGTAAAATAACACTTAACATAAGTAACTAACTACCTGAGTTACTTAAAGTAATTAAAAGATAGTGATAATTCTATACATGTTTGGGATACAATTTAACTAATAAAATAATTAAAAATTAGTATTTTAAAGGGAAAAATACACGTAACTAGTTATGGGGTTGAATTAGTTAGATTTATTACACCTAGTTCTACTCGTTGATGTCTTTACCACTGGTAAGCAGTGTAGGTAGTGTTCTGCCTTCTGATTGATCGTTTGTAGTCATGTGACCGAAACGACGCAGCCGGGGAAGTGAGAGCAGAAAAGTCTCGGTAGCGATCCTGTAGATTCGTTGCCACGTACTGCTTCTGTACTGTTTAACACTTCACCCCTAAAATACGTATCAGGTAAGTTCTGTACACCTGTAAACACCTTTACTACTTTAGGTTGATGTACTCCCATAAGTAGGATATGTGTAACTTTAACTCAACTATTTGACTGTCTACCCTTTTATAAATTATATTTTTTCACTATTAACCGTAAAAAAACACGGTATCTTTATAAAGAAATTCTAAAAAATTTTGAAAAGTTTTAATTATTTTTATAATTTCCTTAAAAATTTCACGTAAATATAACGCTTTAATTGTTTAAAATTTGGCTATTTACAAGTAAATTTATCATTTGTTTATACGTAAATATAAATGGTATTTAAGTATGTTTCTTTGGAATTTGATACCACAAAAAATTGTCATTTTAAAAGTTTTTTATATATATATTTTTTCTTAAAAAATTATATAGAATTTAGAGATTTTTTAATAAAAATAGAAAATTTATTTAATTGATTTCTTAAATTACAGAGGAATTTATAGATAAATATATTTTTAACGTAAAAAAATATGATTTTTTTAGAAAGTTAAGTGGGTATTATGTTTGAGTTGCCAACCAATAAGCGATGCGGTGATTTTTTAGATATTTTATTTTTATATTCTTCGATTCTTCGAATTATATTTTATAAAAAAAATAATAATAAATCAAAAAAGTACTTAAACTAATTTTTAGAGTTACTACTTATAAATTTATTCTTAAAAAAAAGCTATTTCCTATTTCGTTCCAATGGTAATTACTCGATTAGAATAGCTTTTTTTATAAAATCTATATATTTATATATATAAAGCTTTTTTTACGTTTAAAACGTACTTTTAGAACATTTAAAAGCTTATAAAATAAAAAAATAACCATTTGGTATTTATATTTAAGTATATTTTAATGGGAAGAATCAAAGAAATTCTTTGACTTTCGATGCCTGAAGACATGTCGAATTACAAGACATACATCAAAACTAAAAAGATCATCAAACTATTGAGTGGTATTTTTAGAATATTTTGCAATTTTTCTGAATATATCTTCGGGATTTACAAAATCGAAACTATTAAATGTGCAATTTATATATATATATATATATAATTAAAAAAAAAAAAAATTTACAATTGATCATCGAATTCTTACAAAGCGCAATTGACAACAGACCTAAATACGAAATTTCTGTAATAGTTAATAATTAAACTTAATTTTAAATCGTGTATAATATTTTGTTACACAGTAATAATAATAATTACAATTAAAATATAAGGCAAACGATTAAATTATAAGTAAGTACAAATATCTCTCAACAGATGGCAGCAGTAATATAACAAGGGAAATTTCCGATTGACACTAGACACCATTATTCATCTCTAATTTAACGTTAATGTATTTATAAATAAACATTTTATTTATAAAATATTTCAATCAAAGAACTTAATTTATTAATAATTTTTAAAACAA